TGGGCTGGAAGTATGTGGGCCCCTTTAAAATTCTAAGGGTGATAAACAAGGTTGCGGTAGAGGTCGACCTGCTGAAATCCCTGCGGGCTTTACATGCAGTAATTCACATAAGCTGCCTCAAACGGGACCCAGGGTGTTCGACTGGAGATCCTCAGTCCGCGAAGCCCGAACCCCTGTGGCTGGACGGGGAGCCACATCAAGAGGTTCAGGAGATTCTGGACTCCAAACTCCGCAGGGGCGCCCTCCACTATTTGGCCCGATGGAAGGAGTTTGGTCCGGAAGAGAATGAATGGGTGGCCACGCGTCACGTGCGTGCCCCTCGCCTTGTTCGGAGGTTCCATAGGGCGTTCCCTGACAAACTGTGTGTGTGGGGGTCCTGTTTAGGGGGGGCAGTATGTCAGAGTCGGGCACCGTTCTGCTATGTAAATGACTCTGCCAAATGCCTGTTTGATCCTTCAGCCTGATCTGCCATAAACCCAGGGAAGGAGAGATGAAAAGGGGGAAAATGTGCGTGTGTATAGAGCGGTTGGCTGGTGTTAACTTTCTCATGGGAATGGGGGGGAAGGATCTTTCCTCTGCACTTCAAAAGGAAAGATTACAAGTTGTAATCTTAGATGTTTTAATCAGTCTGAACAAAGAATCTCTCTGTGTATCACTACTCTTAGTTTTAATAAAGCTTTTCTATGAGACAACGAGTTGATTGAACCAGGAGCCTGACTCCTCCATGAATCTGTCTAATCCCCTTTTAAAGCCACCTGTGCTCATGGCCATCACTACATCCATCAGCAAATTCTACAATTCAATTACTCATAGAGTGAAGAAGTGTTTCCACATGTCCATATTCATTCTATTGGGTGCCTCCGAGTTCTAATATTATGGGGAGGTCTCTTTCTTTTTCTGCCTGAGACTTAATTTCTGGCACATTTGCCCCCACTGCAAAAATCCTTTCTCCATGCTATGGGCTATCAAGTCACCCCACTTATGGTGACCTATGAATTAATGACCTCCACAATGTCGTATTGTTAACAGCCTTATTCAGGTCTTGGGCCTGACAGCCATGGCTTCCTTAATTGAGTCAACCATCTCATGTTGGGATTTCCTCTTTTCCTGCTGCCTTCAACTTTTCCTAGCTTTATTGTCTTTTCCAGTGAGTTTTCTTTAGCACATTACAATGTAAGCTTTATTATTTTATTTTCTAGAAAAAGAGGGAAGGAATTGCCACCATCTTGAACAAGCTTTACATCACTTATTTTATCACCTTTTTATGGAACTTTCCCTCCAATCTTGTTAGACAAGTATTAGTTGGTTTGATCCTCTTCAATATTATAAGCTTCACATACTGCTTTGAGGCAAGTCAAAGCAGTAGGATGCAAAAGGAATTTAAATAACTTCTACCTTCAGTGTGTGAGTTTGCAGGATTTTAATTCTAAACACCTCTATTAATGCTAGGCTGTACTCATCCCCAGCCATTCCATTCTGGCAATTCTTTGCAAACATTTAGATAATACCTAGACTGAAACCACAACAGTTTGTTTATCACCATCATTCCCACCTAATGAGTCTTTTAGAACTGTCAAATGATCTCAACCACGAGCCTTGAGACAGCGTTTTCCTGATCTCATTGGGGTGAGACAGTTTGGAAAGAAGCTGATCCCAGCCTCTGGAATAAAGTGCATTCCCTCCCCTGCAGGCACAACATCCCCCTTTTGACACATTTCTGAAATGAAGCCAACAGCTGCCCTTCAAAATAAATCATGTGCTCTCGATTAATGGTGTCTATTTCAATAACTGATATTTCCCCTTGATGCTCACATAGCTTGCACCAGAGATTCTGTGTGTTGTGCAATTGTTCAAACAAGCTGAATTAAGAAAAAGAATGCATTGCAACCAATGTTCCCTCTAAGCTGTGGAGTCTTCTGAGCAAAAATTCTACTTTGTGAGCTACTGGCATTACAGTTGTAAGCGAGCGATTTGGCTACTGCATAAATTAGTTTGCTCTGGAGCCATCCTCTCTGAGCTGAGATGAAAATGTGTGAGCTGGAGGCTAAAAACCTGTGAGTTAGCTCACACTAACTCAGCTTAGAGGGAACACTGATTGCGACTGCAAAAGCAAGCATGGTCTACGTAAGGAGGAGCTCCCCCATTCTCACAGCTCTCCCCTCCACATAGAGTCTTCATGGGTGTTTGCTACTCCTCCCAATGTGGTATCATCAGCAAATTTAGTGAGTAGCCTTTCTACCCCTTCATCCAGATCATTGATAAAAATATTGAAAAGTACCAGGCCCAAAACCGAGCCCTGCAGCACCCCCCTCCAATCTGATGAAACGCCATTGACCACCACACTTTGTGTGCGGTCCTCTAACCAGTTCCCTATCCACCAAACTGTCCTATAGTCCAGTCCACAGTCTTCCAGTTTGCCCATCAGAATGTCATGGGGAACCTTATCAAAAGCTTTACTGAAATCCAGGTAAATCACATCAATAGATTTTCCACGATCCATTAAGCTCGTCACATGATCAAAGAAGGAAATCAGGTTGATCTGACAAGATCTGTTGGGGACAAAACCATGCTGACTTCCCCAGATCACGAAGTGGTCCTTCAGATGCTTACAGATCGATCCCTTTAAAATCTGCTCTAATATCTTCCCAGCAACAGAAGTCAGACTGACCGGCCTGTAGTCTCCCAGGTCATCCTTCTTCCATTTCTTAAAGATTGGGATAACATTTGCTCTCCTCCAATCTTGTGGTACATTCCCAGTCCTCCAGGAGGCCTTGAAGATGATGGACAGAGGCTCTGCAAGTTCATTAGAAAGTACTTTGAGCACTCTTGGGTGCACACCATCTGGCCCATGGGATTTGTATTTGTCCAGTGCAGCCAGGTGCCTTTCCACAACCTCCCTGTCAATGTCAACTGGACACTCAGGTATCCTGTCATGTCCTCTACCATCTCTAGACGGGCTCGAGTTCTTCAGGGAGAAAACAGAGGCAAAAAAGTCATTAAGCCTGTCTGCTTTTATTCTGTCCTCCACCAGAGTTTCTCCTTCTACTCCCAAAAGCGGTCCAATTGCCTCTTTTACCTTGCATTTGCTTCTCACATATCTGTAGCAGTTTTTCTTAGTGAAGCGAGCCCCCCCTGGCCAGACCCAACTCATACTGAGCTTTGGTTTCCATGATGGCTGATCTGCAGTACCTAGGAACTCTCATGTACTCCTCTTTAGAGTCTGACCTTCCCTCTATTTCCTGAACATTTCCCTTTTCTCCCTTAGCTTATTCTGGAGCTCTCGGTTCATCCACATCGGTTTCTTGGTGCCCTTATCATGTTTCTGTCTTGCTGGAATAGTGAGGGCTTGAGCTCACAAAAGCTCATGTTTGAGAAGAGCCCACCCTTCACTCGCTCCTTTCCCTTCCAGCACACTCCCCCACGGAATGACTCCCATCAAGTTTCTGAGTTCGTTGAAGTTGGCCCAACGAAAATCTAACCTATGAGCAGTGTTCCCTCTAAGCTGAGTCAGTGTGAGCTAGCTCACAGTTTTTTAGCCTCTGGCTCACACATTCTTGTCTTGGCTCAGGAAGGATGGCTCCAGAGCAAACTGATTTATGCAGTAGCCAAACTGCCCGCTCGCAACTTTAATGCCGGTAGCTCACCAAGTAGGATCACAAGACTCCACAGCTTAGAGGGAACATTGCCTATGAGTCTGGCTACGAACTTCCTTGACCCCCCACAGCAACTGGAATTCAAGGACATGGTCACTTCCCCCTAAGGTCCCCAGCACCTTCACTCTGTCTACCAATTCTTTCCTGTTGGTTAATATTAAGTCCAGTATGGCTGAGCCCCTCCACCATTTGAAAAAGGAAGTTGTCAGCCAGACAGGTCAGGAAGTTGCGTGATTCTTGTCGCTTTGTTGAGCCTGTCTCCCACCACACATTGAGGAAGTTGAAGTCTCCCATAATTATAAGGTTCTGATATCTGGTTCCAGGAGGGCAGCATCCATTTCTTGTCCCTATTCCGGCAGTCTGTAGCAGACTCCAACAACAATACCCTTTGTCCTACCTCCCTTTATTTCCACCCATATACTTTCCACGGGGCTGTCAACCACATTCTCTAGAACTTCCTGACAATCTAGCCCTCTCTTCACATACAGCACCACTCCGCCTCCTCTTCTACCCTTCTGGTTTTTCTTGAACTACTCATACCCATCCACGTTCCAGTCATGAGAATCATCCCACCAAGTCTCAGTGATTCCTATCCAAGTACTAACCATGGCTAACCCTGCTCAGCTTCCAAGATCTGGCCAGCCTGGGCTATCTAGATCAGGGCAGTTGTATATATTCCATGCTAAAAAAAATGGAATTAACTATGTTCTATAACTATGCAATCCAAATTCAGTGTTAGGCGAAGCTGAAATCTGCAAGGTGCATTAATTACGAAATTTGTTTTTAAACCCTGGTGTAGTAGTTAAGTGCACGGACTCTAGTCTGGGAGAACCGGGTTTGATTTCCCACTCCTCCACTTGCAGCTACTGGATGACCTTTGGAGAAGCCATAGTTCTGTCAGAGCTGTTCTTGAGAGAGCAGTTTCTGTCAGAGCTCTCTCAGCCCCACCTACCTCACAGGGTATCTGTTGTGGGGAGGGGGAGGGGAAGGGAAAGGAGTTTGTAAGCTGTTCTGAGACTCCAAGTGAAGGGCGAGGTATAAATCCAATCTCTCTTATGCAAAGAAGTAAAAGTCGGAGACAGAGAACTCTGCAAGAAAACAGTGAATCCTGCCTTTTGAAATCTTGGCCAGCAACCCTCTTCTGACTTCTGCAATTTTTGCAGGCATGCACCTCAAAGTATATCTTTGCAGCCCTAAAGACTAAAAACTTGGGGAAGTGGAATTTTAAAATCATGCCCACTGCCTTAAAGAATTTGGAGGGAAGGAAAAACATTGGGGGGGGGGAAGAGAGAGAGAGAGAGTGCACGCGAGAGAGAGAGAGCACTTCTTAGATGGTAACATACTTACACTTGCGGCCAGAGCTCATGCTAGACTCCAGGTGTTTGAGCTTCATTACCACCTCCTCTCTGCCACTCTTATTCTCTAACACATAGCTAAGCAGCATGCACGTATACTGAGTTGCACTGGAATGGGGGAAAAATATTCATATCACAGGTGAGGCAGGCAATTCGCAGAGGAAAAGGAATGCTCTTTTGCAAAATGAAGTGTGTGGGGGGGGGCAAACAGAAAGACACAGAAGCAAGATCAGCAAGGCAAAAACAAACATTCCCTCACACGAAACCACCCCAGAAAACTGCCAAGGGAGAGAAAGGCTATGTCATTATTCCTGTAGACTCCTTCCTAATAAGCAGTTTCTCTACACTTTAGGGTTCACAGCTTTGCTGCTTTTCCCAAACAAAGATACTCTCCCCATGAATCTCAGCCACACAAGCCTTATGCCAATAGCCACACAGACACAGCAGTGGTTCAACTGCTACACTGTCCTGACAGCAAAAAATAACCCAGTAATTTCAAGGGTGCACCAATTCATAGAACAGGGAGTGAGATCAATTTTTTTTTTTTTTTAAATGACTCCACAGGTGATAGAAGAAAGTGTGGTATAGTAATCAGAGTGCTGGATAAGAAGACCCAGGTACAGACCTCTACTTGCCCCCAGACTTAACCCTGGGCCAGTCACTGTCTCTCAGTGTGACCTACCTCACAAGGCTGTTGTGAGGATAAAACAGAGGAGAGGGAGAAGCATGGAGCCACCCTGAGCTCCATGGTGGGAGAGATATATAGGTACTAAATAAATAAGTGGTCAAGATATTAGATGAGGAGAGCCAGATTGAATCTTCACTTGGCCTTCCTGGGTGACCCAATGCCCCAATTACCTGGATTGAGTAAAATTTGGGAGAATTTCCCTCCCTCCAGACCCAGAGATGGAACTCAGTGCTGCAGCTTTTCTTATCCCATCTTCTATGCTGACTGAGCTACTGAGTTCAAAAGGGGAAGCACATATTAACAGGCAGAGTTGCTAACTTTATGTCTACTTTGTAAATACCAGTGCAGAGGTGGTTGGCTGCAGAGGATATTTGGAAGGTTTTCCTATAAAAATGTCCCCTCAGCATCACTTGTGACCCATATTTCTTATGCTGGGTTTTTCAAATGGTCCCAAATTTTCAAGGAAGTGTTTAAGAAGCTATTGTCTTTTATCTGGGGAGATCTGTTAGCTGTCTTTGACCAGATAGTTTCTTGTAGCATTAGAGGAAGTGTAAAATTTTGTTCTATTTGAATCCACTTTTCATCTGAATCTTTATGTAACATTTTTAATATTTGGGCAAGATTCGCAGAATTGTAATAGGCATTGAGATCAGGAAATCCTAGACCGCCTATATTTGGAGATCTACTTAGAAATTTCTTGCTTACCCTAGGTTTTTTGTAAGCCCAGAAAAAACTATTTGTTTTTGCCATGTTTTAAAGGTTGCAGCTGTTATCTCTATTGGCAGAGTTCTAAATAAAAATGTAAATTTGGGTAAAATAAAACTTTTGGTTAGATACAATCTGTCTGACCATGATAACTTCAGTTTATCCCATGCTTTCAGTTGTGCATTGACTTCCTTATATACTTTACAGAAATTATGAGTGAAGCATCTTGAAATCAAGAGGTATAAAAACACCCAAGTGTCGCCAAACTGTTGTGACCCAATTAAACTGAACATTTGTTTTGATTTCTTGGATATTTTTAGGGGTTAAATTTATCGGGTATATGTCAGATTTGCTTTGATAACAACCAACCCAGAGATCTGCCCAAATTGTTTTAATATATTATGCGATATGTTCAGAGAGTTAATTGGATCTGAGAGGTAGAGGACCAAGTCGTCGGCATAGAGAGCAATTTTATGTTCATATTCTCCTATTTTTATTCCAGCTATATCTTTATTTTGTCTTATTGCCTCTGCAAGTGGTTCTATCACAATGGCAAAGAGCAGCGGAGAAAGCGGGCAACCCAGATGGGTTCCCCTATGTATATTAAAGTGCTTTGAGGTAATTTCATTCACTCTGACTTGAGCTTTGGATGTTGCATAAAGTGTTTTTAGAGCTGCCATAAATGATTTGCCAAATACCATATGTTGCAGTAACTTTAGTAGATACTGAGGCTAAACGGAATCGAAGGCCTTTTCCATATCTCAGCTGAGGATCAAGGCTTCTTTTTGTTTTTTCTTACAGTAGTTAATCACATTCAGTGTCCTCCGGATATTATCAGCTTATTTCTTTTAGGTATAAACCCCGTTTGGTCCTCTTTGACATAGTTAGCAATTATCTTTTTCAGCCGGTTAGCTAATACATAGGTGAACACTTTGTAATCTTGATTTAACAGGGCTATGGGCCTATATGATGATAGTTGAGATGGATTTTTGTTTTCTTTTGGGACAGGGATTAACATTGCTGAGGACCACGAGGGTGGCATCTTACCACTGGTCATGATGTTATTGTAAACTTCTGTCAGAGGTTTAGCTAGGACCAAGCTGAAAGCTTTATAGAATTCCGAAGTAAACCTGTCATTCCCTGGCGCGGTATTGTTTTTCAGCCCTTTAATCGTGTCTTGTATTTCTTGTTCAGAAGTCGGGTTGTCTAGTATTTGTTTGTGATGTTCAGACAACCGTTGTGTTATATTCGTGGAGGATAGAAAACTTTGTATGTCATCAGGACTTGGACTGGAGTATGAGTACAATTTGCTATAAAAAGAGACCAAAATCTCCACAATTGATCTAGAGGAATATTTTACTGTTCCCACCTTATCTCTCATTTGAGTTATATTTGATCTTAATTTCTTATCCTTTACCCTCCAAGCTAATAGTTTTAAAGATTATGGGGATTTCTGCCAATATTGCTGCTTAGTGTAAAGAAGATTTTTTTGGATTTGAGAGATCTCTGTTGATTCCAGTAACTTTCTTGCAGCTAACTTTTTATAAATTTTCTGACTTCCGGTCTTTTTATGGTCTAGTTCCAGCTGATTAATTTTTGCCATCGTTTCTGCTATGAACTTATTTTTTTCTTTTTTAAGGTATGATGACAAAGCAATAATTTTGCCTCTGAGCAATTAAAAGATTTGAGGTTTCTTGGCAGCGTTTCTCAATTCTTTATGGCGTTGTCCTTGAGTGGTGTCTGGAGCTCTATTGGTTTCCATTTTTGTGATTTATTACTTAAGTCCATTTCATCTTCTAATTTTAAAGCTCTTAGCAGACCCATGCGTCCATCCTCCTTCCCTGCGATGCCACGCTCCCCTTGTATTTGTTTAGCTTGCTTGTCCATTGTTATGTATGCTATTGGTTTTTATGCTTTTGCATAAAAGGTCCCAGGTTCAATCCCCAACACTCCCAATTAAAAGGCTCAGGGAGTAGGTGATATGAAAGCTCTCCTCCTGAGACTCTGGAAAGAGTCTGCCAGCCAGGGTAGACAATTCTGACCTTGAAATAAAGCACGTTTAATTCCTTTAACTGGACTTAGATCTTCTACTTATGGAACATGTGGTCGATTACTGAGCCACTTCTCCCCTAATAATTTCTCTGTTGCTGATGTGAAGAATTCTGCTGAATGAGCCTAGGGGTTGACTTTGGAGGCCTCACTGACTATGATTCATTGATTATGGAGGCCCAGGTCATTGCCACTGCCAGGTCTGCCTTTTTTCATCTGAGGAAGATCAGACAGTTGGCCCCATACCTCACCCCCCGCAATCTGGCTGCGGTGACCCATGCATCAGTCACTTCCAGATTAGATTACTGTAATTCTCTCTACGTGGGGCTTCCGTTGGCTGTTCCGGAAACTACAGCTAGTGCAGAACGCAGCGGCGCAGGTGTTGATGTCACTGCCTGTGTGGGCACATATCCACCTGGTGCTGCGTGAACTGCACTGGCCGCCTATTGAATACTGGATCCATTTTAAGATGTTGGTGCTTACCTTTAAAGCCCTATACAGCCAGGGACCCACATATCTTCGAGACCACCTCTCCCCTAATGAGACCCACAGAACATTGTGTTCTACGAACCAACACCTCCTGGTAGTCCCTGGCCCTATGGATGTTCAACCTGCCTCAACTAGGGCCAGGGCCTTTTTGGCCCTGGGCCCTGCCTGGTGGAATGAGCTATCTTATGAGATCAGGGCCCTGGTGGACCTGTTACAGTTCCGCAGGGCCTGCAAAACAGAGCTCTTCCGTCGGGCTTTTAGTTGAGGCAGTGGTCTTCCATCTGATTTGGCCTCCCCTTCAATGACCACAGTTCCTAGAAGCCAAATGGGACCACAACATTATCCATTGAGGCACATTATTGTTTTAGTCTGTGGTGATCTTATTGATTTTAAATGGATTATAATGTGTTTTATAATAATAATAATAATATTTATTGCATTAGCAAAAAAGCCATAGCAACTGTACAGGATAAAATGTGTTTTATTAGTAAATCTACATTAATTGCAGATCTTAATTGTAAATTATGAATTGTTTTAATTGCAAATCAGCATTTTTGTAGACCTATATGTTGGTATCCGCCTGAGCCTACAATGTGGGGAGGGTGGGATATAAGTCTAACAAAATAAATAAATAAAATGACAATTCCTAGGCTTTGGGGTGGTGGGAACTGACACAGTTAAACTACAGTAGAGCTGGTATAAATGTATAGTGCATAATTCCCCTCAATCCTTCCTTGTTCTCTCTCTCAGTCCTTTCCCCATATGTTCCCCCAAGGGCACTATGGTCAGGGAGTCAACATCTCCTGGAAATTCCAGGCCCCAGGGATATTATACTTGCTGTTCCCAGAGCCAGGGCATTTTCGGTGGCGGCTTCTACTTGGTGGGAGGAGCTCCCAGAGGAGATCCGGGCCCTGCGGGCCCTTTCTCAGTTCCGCAGGACCTGCAAGACAGAGCTCTTCCACCAGGCTTTTGAGTAGGAGCCGCCACCACTACTACTATTCCACCACCGCTATTTATGCAGCAGCGCACCACTACCAGCACTATGTGGTTCCATCGGGGTGCGAGGTGACCCTGGAAGGAGAAGGGATGACAGGTTATTGGAACGTTGCCATTGGATTAAGATCTACCCCATCTTGTGATAAGTGGAGCACTGACACTTTGTTGTTTGTATTATATTGTTTTATTCTGTTTTAACTTTGGCACTTGTGCCTCGTTGTTAGCCGCCCTGAGCCTTCGGGGAGGGCGGGATATAAATCCAAAAATAAATAAATAAAATGTTGTGATGCCCCTGGCAGAACCTATTTTAAGTCAGGTTGAAGACAGGGGACACAGAGTCCTGACTAGGACTGTGAGGCCTCATAATTACCCACTGCAAACCAAGTGTGCTCTTAGAGCAGATCCAGTACTCTCTTCTAATTGTGCCCTGCAGAGAAAGAGCAGCATCTGGAGGTTTCAGTGAAACACCTGCTATTTATTTGTTATTATTTAATTTCTTTATAGTCCACCTTTTTCACTGAGATCCAAGGTGGATTACATAGGGTAAAGGTAAAGGTTCCCTTGCTCGAAAGCCAGTCGAATCCGACTCTAGGGTTGCGGTGCTCATCTCTGTTTCAAAGCTGAAGAGCCAGCACTGTCCAAAGACGTTTCCGTGGTCATGTGGCCGGCATGACTAAACACCAAGGCGCATGGAACACTGTTACCTTCCCACCGAAGTGGTACCTATTTATCTACTTGCAATTTCTTGCTTTCGAACTGCTAGGTTGGCAGGAGCTGGAACTAGAGATGGGAGCTCACTCCATCATGCGGCACCTGGGTCTCGAACTGCTGAACTACTGACCTTCCACAGCCTGCAGTTCAGCATCTTAACCACTTGAGCCACCGCAGCTCCTTTACATTGATCAATGCAATCAACAGGATGAGATATCTACCAAAAAGTGTAATAGGACTGGGATAGGATTACAGAATCAGTGACCATCTCACTGAGGAATCCCTGGAAGCTACAGTAATTACCTTGTGAGCCCCACAACAGTCTGAAAATAACAACCTTAGCTTTACTGAGCATGTGTTGGTTGTATGTACACATGGCATGGATCTGTGGGAGAATGCCTACTTTCTAGCCAAGTAGAAAATCCTAAATTCTACTGATCAAAATCCTGTTAAAATCCTCTCTTCCATTGGGTCCGCTTGATAAATTTTTGTTCTTAAAAGTGCACGTGCACACAGCAAGCAAATCCTGCACGCCCCTATTTTCTTTGTTAGTATTTAAGTGATTGTCTGAGCTTTCACTAAGAAAACATAGGGCTTGTTCCCATGCCCAGGTTCATCACATGATCATTTCAACATCATCAGTAACTGAGATTAACGGCTCATGCATACCCAAATGCTTCCTCCCATAGAGGAGGCTGCCAGATGTTATCTTTGTGCAAATCAATGGTCTAGGTCAGTCTTTTTCCAGGGTGGTGCATGTAATTGCACATCTAATACCACAAGTTCATGCCATGTAACAGCAAATACCAAGTATTTCACTGGAGCCCATTCACATGCAAGAATTCAAATTCTGCAGTACATGTTTTTGTGAAACAGCCCACCCACCCCTCTGGGTACAGGAAGAAAGTGCTTCAGTCATTGAGCAGCACACCCAAACTCCAGATTGCTGAGTTACATCCCCCCCAATTAAAACTGACAGCACAACTTTATTTACATCTAAAAAGATATGAAGTATGAAAGAGAGTCATAGAAGAAAAAGAACTGACATATTGGGCACTACTCTTGGTTAGAATAATGGGCACTTCAGAGCAGCAACTCATAAAGAGATGTAGCTTTCTCCACAAGTGGCCTGCAGGAGTTAAGAATCCCGTCACACACAACGGGGGGGGGGGGAATTAACCACCATCTACAGAGGCTGCTTAAGAACGTGCAAGTCCTGAGCACTGACTTATGCAGAGTTGCATCAGGATCCCTCTTAAATTATTCCATCAGTTTTATCTACTGCAAGTGGTGCTTGTTCCACCACTTAATCGCAGTCCCACCTCGGGCTGCTTTAAATATACGCAACTCCAAAGCAGCGAGTCCAAAGTTGCATCAGGTCCCCTCCTCCGCCATTCTTTCATTTATTTATTTAATTTTACACGATTATGCCCCAGCGCAGAGTTTGGGAACGGTTGCCCAAGTCAGCAGGATTTGCAAGCAACGCAAAGCTCGACCCCAGCCTGGCACTTATTGCTGAGTGGTAGCCCCCGAACCTTTTCCTCCCTTTCTCACCCAAAGAAAAGCCCGCTTTTTGGATAGAAGATCCCGCATCACCTGTCGCCCCTCACCGAAAAAGCCGCTCCCGACCCTGCGTCTGGTTGGAGAAGTACACAAAGGCTTCCATCGCCAAGAAATCCCGCCTGTTCGGGCAACACCATGCGCGCGCGCACCGGTTCTAGGCGGAGCAAGGCTGCGTGGGAAACCTGGAGCGCGGGTGAGGGGGCGGGGCCGCAGCGGACAAGCCTCCTCCCCCAGCAAGCCCCGCCCACCCCGGAAAGGGCTCGCTTCCGGGCGAGGTTGCCGTAGCAACGGGAGAACTCGGGAGGCAAACGCGAGCCTGGACTTGTGGAGCCTGTAGAAAGGGAGTAAGAGCGGGTTCTGAGACTAATTAATTAATTGTAACATGTTACAGACGAGTTTTTTGGGGGCGGCGGCTATTATTAGTAGTAATACTGGAGTATAATATCCACCCTCCATATTTTTAAACTTTACAACAAGCCTGTTAAGTAGGCTAGACTAAGAGATTAGTGGTTGGCAGGGCCGGCCCGAGGTTGTCCTGCGCTCTAGATGAGCGCAGATGCCAACCTCCCGGCAAGGCCTGGAGACGCGTGCTCAAGGCGGTGGGACCGGCAGCAGGAGGGGGCGGTTGGGGGAGCAGGAGGAAGACGGATTGGAGGAGGAGGGGGGGAGCAAGCTCAACTGGCTGCCTTCTTTGGAGTGCGCAACTCGGACTCGGACCTTGGAAAGGGCTGCTCCGGCTCCAGTTTCCGCTGACCGTCATGGGCGACGGGTAGCACAGGCAGGCCGACGGGCAGCCGCCCCACCCGGGCGCCTCCAGACCCAGCAGCAGCGGCGGCAGTAGCCCCAGGCAACCCCCTGAGAGCCGAGCAGAGAGCGAGCGAGCGCGTCAGTGCAGAACCCTGTCAAGCTGGCCAGGCCTGATATTGTCACTAGGGTTGGTGTATATTATTCTCCCCCCTGCCCCATCTCATAAAACAGACCCGTTTTTATCTTATGGCATTCAGCAGACTATATAAAGCAGAAATGTTCAGAAGGGAATTTTTATAAAGGCAATAGGGCTGTATTACAATGAAATGGTTCAGGAAGGTGGTTTTTACAAAGAATGAGACTGTGAACTGGTCTGTGTCGAGCTCCGGCCTCGCTTGCAATGTATTTCTACATGGATTCACATGTGTTTCTACAGTTCCTCTGTAACCTTGGTCCTTTCCATTCCTGTTTATCTTCCCTGCTGGAAAGTGGGGAGGAGGGAGTGACTGTTTATGGCTGTCCACTTTGCTTGATTAGTGCTACCTAGTAATAATTCTCATGCTGGGGCTTCTCGTGTGCTGTAAACATGTTGGGATGTGCATGATCTCACCGTTCGGTGTGACCTTGTAGTTGGCAGAGCTTCTAGATAATGTAACTGTTAGTTTGCAGGTGCTAGGGGTCATAGGGGCAGAGGCAGACTTGTGGCGTGCTGAATGAGAGAAGTGATTGGTCATTTGGCATGTGGGAGTTTTCCTGGTTATTATATTGGGGGAACTGGCATCTGGAACCCAGTTCCGACACAAAAACTGTTCATGCTTGGAACCTCTCTGTCTCCTAATAAACAAATCTTGCTGCTACAAGAGTGTTGTGGGAGTGATTGCATCCAGGACTTGTGTATAGAATGCATAATGTGTTTGCTGTATGTATTAGCCAGCTCCTACCACATTGTTTTCTACTTACGTAATTCCATTTTCTGTATTGTCTAGCATACCATGCCTAATACTTTTTGCTTTCTTTTAAATTTCAGCAAGGCAGATTATAAATACAATAAATAGCCTTGTGAGCTTAGCCAGGATGACAGATAAGCGGCCCAGTCTCTAGCTGGTTCTACTAGGAGAGGGTTTGCATTGAGAGCCATTGTGGTTTTTATTTATTTACAGACTATATACCCTGCCTTTCTGCCGTTCCAAGGCCACCAAGGCAGATAACAGATTAAAAGTTAGGGACTGTGGTCTATACTAGACAGTAGTATTCACACTGCATGTTGTAAGTAGAATCCTATTGTGTAACTTTTGCATTGTTTAATACATTATGTTAATACTTATGATTTCCTTCAGTTCTGTGTAGATTTATGGTAGGTCCCAGATCTCTGCAATCCAAATTCCACCGCATTGCCTTATTGGATATCCCGTCCTGTTCGATTGTATTGATTTACTCCATGTAATCTGCCTTGAATTTCAGTGAGAAAAGTGGACTATAAATAACTTTAAAAAAGAAAAACATCATAAAATCACGTATTAAAAACCACTAGCAGAAACCCACATTATTAAAACAAAACCAAAGCTAAAATACATGCATAAAAAGAATTAAGACATAGGATAGGAAGGAAGGGTTGTAGTAGTTATAGATCTGGGAGCCCCAGGTTTGAGTCCCCGTTCTTCTACAGTGGATGACCATGAGCCAGTCACAAACTCTCAGCCTCACCTACATCATAGGGCTTTTGTGAGTATAAAACAGAGGAAAGAAGAATGATGTAAGCATTAGGGGGGGGGGTCCCCCATTGGAGGAAAAAGGCAGCATACAAAAAGTAAAAGAGATTATATTACAGTTTGCAGTATCTCTCCTTCTCCACTGAAAATTAGCTTTCCCAGTGGCTCTAGTTTCCTTGCAATTTTGGCATGCTGCTAGAACAGAAGAAAAACTAATATAACCTGTTTTGAAAATATTCCCTTAAAACCTATGTACCTTTACCACCTTTAGCTGTGCTCCAATTATGTCTAGCATACCTGCACCTTGGGCAGTTAAAGAAGAGGGGGAACACAGAAATGGAATTAGCTTAATAGTTGTGAGGAAGGTAATTGCCCTTTTAAACATGATTAAGAGCCCCTTTTTAGAGACATAGTTGTTAATCTATTTGCATTTTTCTTCCAGGACTTCTTTTTCATTCACAGTTTACAAACAAGTTCATCTGCCATGCTCTTGTTTGCAGAATAACACCAAAGATGCCTTTCTACCTCCGGAAACTGCCCCTGGAGATCCCTCCACCCACAGAAAAGGAGTGGATTAAAAAAGATGAAGGAGAGGCTTTCTTCCTGAAAGATCCAGACCAAATAATCGATTATTTGCCTCAGCCTTTCCAGATGGTCAACAAACTGGTGACTGTGTTGTTTGAACGGGCCTGGGAAATTATCGAGGGCAGGGAGCAGGGCCATGTGATGAAGAAACAGCATCCTCCACCCACTCGGTACTGGCCTTCGGCAGAGTTCCAGGTAGTCACAGCCCTCACAGACCAATGAGGATCAGTCTGTTGTAGTTTCACCAGGGACAGGAGCTGCCACTTAGGACTGGCAGATATTCATAGACATGGGCTTAGAGGAAATACGTTGCAAACAATGGGGGTCAAAAAGGCAATAAGCCGCACGAGGGAACAGTTGGTGGCATCTCTAAAATGTATGCAGGGCAAGCACAGGGACCATTTACAATAGCAGTAATTTTTGATAATTAGCAGACCTCATCAGCAGAGTTCTTCAAAGGCCATTGAAGTCAACAGATTTGGTGGTGGTGGAAAGTGTTGTCAAGTCACAGCAGACTTATAGCGATCCCACGGTGCTTTTTTGTTTAAAAAAGATGCCAGTACTCTCATATATATATAACCAGTACTCATATATAAGGTTGCACTGATTTCCAGCAATTCTCCCCTCAGGACTTGGGAGAGCACCACAAAAAAGCCCTACAGCGGCATAGGGTTTTCAAGGGAAGAGAAAACAGATTCTTTGCTATTGCCTGCCTTTGTGTAGTGACCCTGGACTTTCTTGGTGGACTCCCATCTAAGTACTATGCAGGGCTGACCCTGCTTAGCTTCCAAAATCTGACAAGATTGGGACATCCAGGTCAGGGCACAAGGGTGAGCTGAGCTGGGTGCTAGGTTATAACCCTTCATTCTTTCCTCTAATGGACTTAGAAGGGTGTAACTCTTTTTTATCATTGTCGTGCCCCACCTCTGCACTTGGGGTCTTTCCACCAATCACTTGCTGGGGTGCACCCCTCTTCTCCCTTCCTGTGGCTGCCAGAGGTCTCAGAATGGCAGGGGGAGGAAGGTTACAGCCCCACTCCTCTGTCCCCACCTGCTAGCACCCTTCTCTCTATTTGATCAGCTCGCTCCTCTTAGAAAGGTCACCAGCAGGCTCCTCCTCGACCTGCCCAGCCTGCCTCCTTTTATCTTCCCCCAGTTCCTTCCCATGCCCTCCTGCTCCTTCCCCTTGACTCTCCCCAGCTGGCCCCACCCCCAGATAGAAGATCTGGCACCCTGCTTCAGGTATGGGCTGGGTTGTCATGTTGGTTCCGCGTGCTGCTGGCACCCTCTCAGGCCTTGCTGCCCTGCTTTATGTCAGGGTGGGGTTGGCTCAGTGGCTCAGTGGGCTGCTGGTCTGGTGCTCTTGTGAGCTGCCAGCTGGCCTTACCGTGCTCTGTCTGCCTGGTGGGGCTGGGAGCTGTACTCAGAAAGCAAGCAAGCACTGTGCAAATAACGCAGACCACAAGTGCTCAAAAAGTCATGCAAAAAAGTAAATTTATATAACACGAGACTTAGAGTTTATATTCACCCGCGGGTCTGCATAGGGAAAGTCGTTATGACAGACCATCTAGATCAGAGGAGTATGGAATGGAGGTCTGTGTCGAGCCCCCTCCCTGAGCCAAAGGCTATACAATGGAAGTCGGAGGGGCCATGGGAGAGGAAGGAGACCATGAGGAATTCATAGGTACCCGACTGGATTTGCTGGAGCAGGGTTTCGACCAGGTGCTGCAGATGGTTGAAGACTCCTTCAAGTGTCTATGGTAGCTGGGGCAGTGTAGCAGGAATTGCAATGCCGGGGCCGGTGCAGCTAGCGGCCCCAGAGAAAGCCCAGGCAGCCCCCTTGCAAGCCCAGGTGCCAGGACAGCCACCCCCCCGGAGAAACCCTCCCCGGGGATCTCCCGGGAACGTGGTGCCGGCCCAACCGGGTCAAGATGTGCATCCCCGCACTGAGCCGTTGGATGCTACTTTTGATGGAACACCTGAGAAACTCCCCTTCTTTGTGGTCCATGCCCAGAAGTTCGTGATGAACTGGGGTCACCTGTTTCCTACTGAGGAGCTTTGGGTGGATTACATCACATCCCGGCTGAGCGATGAGACAGCGGAGTCTGCACAACACTTGCACAACACTGACGGATGAGGTACTGGCGGAACCATACCGACTGGGACTATACCCTGAGGTCAGAGAGACGGTCTTGCATAGTGTTTACCCAGTATCCCTGAATGTGTGGATTCGCGGCTGAGGACCATCAAGATCGACAATGCCACCTCTGTGGTTAAGACTATCTTACTGTTTCCAAAGCCTAAAACCCCTCTCCCAAAGAAGGACGGGGTGCGGGACCAATGCAGGAAGCAAGGTCTGTGCCTGAAATGCAGCTTGGCGGTCCACTTTGCAGCCTCCTGCCCGGGAGTGGGAACCCAGGGAGCAGTGAAGAAGGCCCTGGAAAAGCGGTGGGTAGACACCCCAACGAAGAAGACCCCGATCAAACCAAAGAACCAAAAAACCCTTCAAGCCAGCGTTCCAGAGGAGAACCCGGATTTGTCCAGCGAGGAAGAGGATCAGCCAGTGGGAAATGAGATGGACCTGCACTAAGTGGCACGGAGCAGCAGGTCCCGAATCCCAAGGCACCAAAAACGGTGAGTGGATATCCCTCTCTCTTTTTTGTCACAGTGACTATCCAAAACCCAGAGCTGGGTACCCACGTAAGACTACGAGCCCTAATAGACTCAGGTTGTGGCCGTGACTTAATTAATCCCTCATTAGTAACGGGGTTGGGGGCGAAAGTGGTCCAGCTGGCAGACCCCATTGTATTTATCCAGATGGATGGGTCAGCTATGAAAGAGCCTTGTAAGTACGAGACTGTGCATTTAAGAATGGGAACCAGGGCTCACTGGGAACACAGAACTTTTGTTATCACCTCTGATGCCCAGTTCCCCATGGTACTGGGTAGCCCATGGCTCCATGATCACCATACGTTTTGTTGGATGAGGGGGTGGTGAAGTTCATTTTTCCCAAATGCTCACGTTTGGGAAAAGTCGTGGGGGGCCCCCACCTCCAGACGTGCCGCTATGAGCTTGCTTGGCGACTGAGGAGCTGAACTCTGTCCCAGTGGAGTATCGTGATCTTGCTTGAGTGTTCGAAGAAGAGGAGGCAGACGAATTGCCCCCTCACAGACACTCATACTGTGCCATTGAGTTACTCCCAGACAAGAAATTGCCCAAAGGTAAATTGTATGCAATGAGCCCTCAAGAGAAAGAGGAATTGCGCAAGTTCATCGACAAGAACTTGGCGTGAGGCTTTATTTGCCCTGCGTCCTCCCCTTTTGCAGCTCCAGTTATATTCTGGGGAAAAAAGGATGGGGGGTTTGACATTGTGTATGGATTACCAGGGCGTGAATGCTGTTTCCACCACCAATGCATACCCCCTGCCACTTATGAAGGACCTCCTAGCTGAAGTGGCTAAGGGGAAGATTTTTTCTAAGCTTGATCTCAGAGATGCTTACTTTCGTGTCCGCATAAAAGCCGGAGACGGGTATAAGACTGCATTTAACACTCCGTTGCGACAGTTTGAGTACAGGGTGATGCCATTCAGACTTCAAGGGACCCCAGGGGTCTTCATGAACCTCATAAATGAAGTGTTGCACAAGCACTTGTTCAAAGGTGTGATATCCTGATTTATTCCACTGATAAACCAGCGCACATCAAGCTGGTGCGAGAGGTCCTACAAACGTTGCACAAGCATAAACTGTTTGCCAAATTATCTAAGTGCGAGTTTCACTGTTCAGAAATTGATTTCCTGGGATGCCACATTTTACAGAGGGGTTTGGAGATGGACCCTGCTAAGAAGAAGAAGAAGAAGAGAGAGAAGAGATTGGATTTATACCCCGCCCTTCACTTGGAGTCTCAGAGCGGCTTACAAACTCCTCTCCCTTCCCCTCCCCACAACAGACACCCTGTGAGGTGGGTGGGGCTGAGAGAGCTCTGACACAAACTGCTCTTTTTCAAGGACAGCTGTGCCAGAGCTTGTGACTGACCCAAGGTCACATCAGCAGGTGCAAGTGGAGGAGTGGGGAATCAAACCCGGTTCTCCCAGATTAGAGTCCGCGCACTTAACCACTACACCAAACTAAGGTTTGGGAAGTGGTGGGGTGGGAGCCCCCTCAAACCTGGAGGCAACTGCAAGTGTTCTTAGGATTCGTGAATTTCTACAAGTCATTTTTAGCAAACTTCGCCCAGGTGAGCTTACTGCTCACGGATCTACTTAGAACCAAGGGGAAGGGGCCGGATTGCACACGCCTTGAGGCCAAGTTGATCTGGACTAACGAATGTCAGGAGGCGTTTGACCGCCTCAAAGCACTGTTTACATCGGAACCTGTATTGGCCCACCCAAATGAACTGAAAAAATTTATTCTGCAAGTCGACGCTTCTGATGTTGCCATGGGTGGGGCGATTCTCCAGGAGGGGGAGGATGGGAAGCTTCACCCCCTGGCTTATGTCTCTCGCAAATTTAATGACACTGAACGGAATTGGTCAGTTTGGGACAAGGAGGCAGGGGCTATTAAGTTGGCACTCTCTACTTGGCGCCACTGGTTGGAGGGGGTGCGGGTGCCATTTGAGCTGTGGACTGATCATAAAAACCTGGAGGTCATGCGAACGACCCGAAATCTGAATACTAAGCAACTTCGGTGGGCTGATTTCTTTTCCAAGTTTAACTTCACCCTTCACCACTTCCCAGGGAAGTCAAACTCTCTGGTGAATGCGCTATCCTGCCTCCCACTGCATGACAGTCAGTGGGAGGGGGTACTCGATTCCATGTTCACGCCGTCACAATTGGGGTGTGTGTGATGACACGCAGCCAAGCGAAATCCCAACCCTTTTCTTCCCCTGCCGCTAAATGGGAAGTGAAATTTGCCTCTGCCCTTTCCGATGCTGACCGTCTCTAGTTGAGCAAAGAGGATGAGGTGGAGGAGCGGGCGAATGGGTGTTGGTACCGAGCTTCTAAACTGTTTGTACCTCTGCCGTTGCGGGGAGAAATTATGTCTACAGTGCATGGAACTAAGTTGGCAGGACACTTGGGGTTTCTCAAATCCTTGCATTTGCTGCAGAGATAGTGGTGGCCTGGAATGCGCAAGGATCTTTCCCTGTTTGTTAAGTCGTGCCAAACTTGCATTATGTGCAATGTCATGCCCACCATGCCGCCCACCGTGTCGCCCGACCCAGTGGACCCTGATCCCGGGGACTCTGTACCTTCAACACCCAAGAACGAGCTCCCTGCACCCCTGGAAGTACAAAACCTAAGTCTTGCAGAGGATGAACACTGGCTACCAGAAGGGTTCACACCTGGAGCCGCTCCTGCAGAGCAGAGCACAAGCTCCATGCCCCCTAATTCCTGCCCCCTACTGTAGCTTGTTTACGAGACCAAAGGAGACGGGACTTGACAACCCAGCGTAGGGAAGCACGCATGCGTGGGAGGCGTCCTCTGAGTCCCAAGTATTGACTGGAGCCAGGACTCTGTAATCAGCCGGTAATTAGTGACACGAGGAACGGGCTTTTAAGGCAGCTCTCTTCATCCAATTCGTGCTGGCAACTGATCGCATGATTAAATCACTGCACCTCAGACCTTGCATCCTGTTTCCTGACTCTCTGCTTGCCTCCCTCGGCTATTGACTCTGGACTGCGTGACATCGTTCTTCTGGCTCCCTGACCCTGGAATGTGTAACCTGACTCTGGACAACGGCTTTCGGCTTTACACCTCTGACTGCAAATCTCCAGTAAACCTTAGACTGTGCAAGTGACCTGATATTTTGGACTGTGCTTTTGTTTCTCTGCCTCTCTGGTGCCCTGACCTCTGCCTGTGTTTTTGGATACTCTGTGCCTTGCCTAGCCCACCCGCCAGGGCAATCATGACGTGCAAATCCCACCCTGGGAAGCCCCCCAGTTTGTTGCAACCTCTTCCCACCCCCGGCAGACCGTGGGAAGTGATCCCCATGGATTTCATCACGGACTTACGCCCCAGCAAGGGGAAAACTGTGATTTGGGTGGTGGTTGACTTGTTTTTGAAACAGGCTCATTCTGTTCCTTTTAAATCGCTTCCAACAGCACGTCTACTTGCTAAAGCTCCTGCAACATGTCTTCCAGCTCCATACTTTACCATGGAAGATAATCTCCAACCGCGGCTCGCAATTTGTTTCCAAGTTCTGGGGGGAGCTGCTGAAACTTTTGGGGGTTGAGCGCGGGCTCAGTAGCACTTACCATCCCGAGACCGATGGTCAAATGGAACGGGTAAACCAAACACTGGAACACAGTACCTCAGATGTTTCAGTAACTTCCAGCAGGACAATTGGGAGGGGCTCCTCCCTCTGGCTGAATTTTGTTATAATAATGCCTGTCATTCATCCACTGGAGTGTCTCCGTTTATGGCGGTTTATGGCTATGAGGCCCCGCCTCTCCCGTTCCTCTCAGACATTCCCCTCCCTGGATAGTACTACTATCGTAGTAATATCCAGATGTGATTTAATACCAAAAATACTTTTATGTCTTTTCTATTTGAACACTTTTAATACAATTTAAAGACTTGAATATAATCTTTAACATGTAGACATATATCCAAAGCATTTGAATAACTTATCAAAGTGCCTTGTTACTCTCTTTGTAGTTTTAGTTTTGTAGTCCTAGTTTGTAGTGTGTAGTAAGAAAAGCAATAAAAATTTTATTTAAAAAAAGGAAGCAGGCTTGGATAAGAAGTGCTTGCTGGAGGAAGAGGGGAAAGAACCACTTGGAAAACTTTGTGGCCCTCCTGGCCCCAGAGGGAATGGACTTGTCTCACAGCATCCGTGTGAATGTGTGTTCTGCTTTTTCTCCCCCACAACACTTTCTTATTGGGCCTCTGTTGTTGCATTAGTTTGGCGAGTACCTGTGAGCTCTTTCAGCCCTCTCTGCAATGCTTTTTTTGTTTGTTTGTTTCCACACTGGGGCTGCCAGTAAACTGCACCACAAGTGAACAGTGCAGCTTGCAAAAAGCTTTTAAAGGGAACATCTCTACTATAGACTATGGGGAACAATGACTGTAATGGTCTCAATAGGCTATAATGGAGAATCGATGTAGGGGTATCTGGGGTTCTGGGGCCTGTTTTTTGAAGTACAGGCACCAGATTTGCAGCATATCTGCTGGTGCCTCTCCTTAGGAACCCCCCCCCCAAGTTTCAAAAAGATTGGAACAGGGGGTCCAATTCTGTGGGGCCCAGAAGAAGGTGCCCCCGTCCTCCATTATTTCCAGTGGAGGGGGGAAAGATGTGGTTTCTTTAAATACTGTTTGCAAGCCGCGGTTTCAGCCGGAAGCCGGTGAACTCACCTCTTCAGAGTTCGAATTGGTGTTGGTTCTTGAAAAAGCTATTTCTTTTCTTTCTTTCCCTTTCTTTCTCTCCCTTTCTGTCCATTTCTTTCTCTCCCTTTCTGTCCCTTTCTCTTCGTTTCTTTCCTTTCTTTCCCTTTTCCCCTTTCTTTCCTTCTCTTTCTGTTTTTTCTCCCTTTCTTTCCATTTCTCTTTCCATTTCTCTCCCTTTCTTTCCATTTCTTTCCATTTCCAAACTGAAATACATTTTAAAAAACTAGGCTTGCTTACAACTTTTATGCTTGTAAAGTTTTTGGCTCACAAAGTAGAATTTTTGCTCACAACAGTCAACAGTTTAGAGGGAACATTGCCAGGACCAAAACAAAGTTCAGAAAACATCGTAACTGAATATATTGCTGATTAGCTGTAGCTGAGAGATAGAATTCTGTGCTCAGAGTGTTGAAGGGCTTGAAATTATCATTTGGTCCCATTAACTGAGATAGGAATGTTAGACCATTAGACATAGAAGAGCCAGAGTGGTATAGTGGTTACGGACTAGGATCTGGAAGAACTGGGTTTGAATCCCCACTTTGCTGCGGAAGCTTACTGGGTGACCTTGAGCCCATCTCATACTCTCAGCCTAACCTACCTCACAAGGTTGTTGTAAGGATAAAACAAAGGAGAGGAGAATGATGCAAGCTGTTTTGGGACCCCATTGAGAGAAAGGCAGGATATACGTTAGTTAAATAATACCCCTGTTCCCTATTAATTTTAGGATTTATTCAAATAGTTAGATTCTTGTTTGTGAATGGGTCAAAGGCTGACTGAGCACCACCCATCTGGCCAGCCCAACCTAGCAACTTCAATTACAGGATAATATACCTGGGGAATGATCTAAGTGGGTATATCCCAAGCTCCCCACTTACATAGGGGATAGAACTGGGCCATTTCTAGGTGAGACCACTCAGGTATTTCCTGCCGAGGAGCTACAGTCCAGTATTTCACATTAGAGAGTAGAAAGATTAGCTGATATTAGTGCAGATTAGGAAGATTAAAGCCCCCTTCTTCTACTGGTATTTGAAGCTTTTTATATGCAATCTTTCCTGCCAACCTAGCAGTTCGAAAGCAAGAAATTGCAAGTAGATAAATAGGTACCACTTCGGTGGGAAGGTAACAGCGTTCCATGCACCTTGGTGTTTAGTCATGCCGGCCACATGACCACGGAAATGTCTTCGGACAGTGCTGGCTCTTCGGCTTTGAAACGGAGATGAGCACCGCAACCCTAGAGTCGGATTCGACTGGCTTTCAAGCAAGGGAACCTTTACCTTTACCTTTTATATGCAATCTTAGGCCTGCCTGAGGGACCACAAATAAAGTTATGAAATTGAATACATTTTGGGAGGAAATCTCTCAAGACATAAATAATACATAGAAACATAGAGCTGGAAGGGACCTTGGGTCATTTAGTCCAACTGCCTGCATATTTGACACACTCAGCATCAAAATTAAATGGTTATAGGTTGCGAATATCAGAGGAAACTGATCCGCCCAGAGACATGTGGTATCATGATATCTCCCCAAGTTCAGTGGTAAGGTTCATAAATTCTGGTAATGATTTTTCAGGATCAGATAGTAGTGAAAACTCTCTGAATGTAACCCATTAGTAACTACTATAGTACATGATTCTTTATAAAGGATCTTACCCAGTTAATAAGTTCTGGAGGGACGATACAGAGTTGAATCACAGAATACATATGTTGCTAATATACATTTCCCATGCTAGCATATCCTAGTATCTGCGGGGAGGGCAGGCTCCATGTCCTAATGCTGAGCACAGAAAGTGAAATCTGTAGATAGTAGACTGTACAAGAATTGATTCTGCACAATGACCCACTGCTGATAATTGTACATAGCTGGAAGAAATCAGCAAGGGGCATTGGGGGGTGGGTCAGGTCTGTTCATTGACATTGCTGAGCCAGGCATTGTTTTCTCTTAATTTTTTATCTTCCCAGGTGGTAGGAAGGGCAAACTGCCTGGCAGCTTCCCGGGAATACATCTTCATTGGACTCTCTACAGGACTTTCTGTCTTCAGCATAGCCACCTGTGAGAAGATTGGTGCCTGGGAGACGGCTAGGCTTGAAATTTGTACTCTCCATGCCTCAGATCTGGACAATAATTCCCAAGTCCTTGGCACAGTGGATGAGATGGGTAGGTGTTAGTTTAGTTGTCTTGGAAGCAGAGTGGATAAAAATCAATTTAAAAAAAAAAAATGAAAATTGGATTTTTAAAATTTAAATTGGATTTTTTTAAATAAAATGCTTTATCAGGAAAAATCTATCTAAAGATAGTTTTCTATTTAAGATACATTATAGTCCAAAGCATGCGTGGCCAAACTGCGGCTCAGGAGCCACATGCAACCCTTTCACACATATTGTGTAGCTCCCGCAGGGCAGCTGGGGAAGCAAAGGGGAGGCATAGAATCATAGAGCTGGAGGGGACCTCCAGGGTCATCTAGTCCAACCCCTTGCACAATGCAGGAAAGTCACAAATACCTCCCCCTCAGCACCCACAGTAACTGCTATTCCACTCCTAGAAAATTACAAAAACCTCCAGGATCCCTGGCCAAAGTGACTAGGAGAACAATTGCTTCCTGACCCCAAAGTGGCGATCAGCATTTCCCTGGGCATGTAAGAAAGGGCCATAAGAACTAAGCACTGAGGCAACCCTTCCTGCCCTCCCTCTCATGATCTGCCTAAGTTCACACTATCGGTCTTCCATTCCCCAGCCGGTGTTCCCCTCCCTGGGCAGGCTTGAGCTGGGGGCCTGGGATGGTAGAAAGGTAGTAGAGAAAGAAAGCAACTTTAACTTTAAATGCATTCTCAAAGTCCCCCCCCCCGCCAGGTGGCTTGGAGAAGGCATTTGTCTCTTTAAATCCCTTCTCCAAGCTAGCCCAAACCAGCCACCATGGGGCATTTAAACTTGCTTTCTTTCCACCTCTCCCTCCCTCCCTCCCCCATCTATTTGCTTTCTTTTCACCTTTCTTTCTTTCCACCTTTCTCTCTTGTTCTCCCCTCCCTCCCCATCTAAAGCTAAATGTGTTCTCCAAGCTCTGCTCCACTGCCACACCAGCTGACTGGCTTGGCTTGGAGAAGGCATTTGTCTCTTTAAATCCCTTCTCCAAGCCAAACTGACATGGAGGCAGGGGGCTTGGAGAACACATTTAAAGTTAAAGGCATTTTCCAAGCCCCTGCCCTGCAGCCCCACCTGCCAGCTTGGAAAAGGCATTTGTTTCTGTAAATCCCTTTTCTAAGCTAAACTGTCTAATGTGGGGGTGGGGAGGGGGTTGGAGAGCACATTTAAAGTTAAAGTTGCTTTCTTCTCCTCTCCCTCCCTCCCTTCCTCCCTCCCCCCCATTTATTTGCTTTCTTTCCAGCTCTCTTTCTGTTTCTTTTCCATTTCTCCCTCCCTTCCCCATCTATTTTCTTTCTTTCTTTCTTTCTTTCTTTCTTTCTTTCTTTCTTTCTTTCTTTCTTTCTTTCTTTCTTTCTTTCTTTCTTTCTCTCCATTCTTTTCTTTCCCCTCCCTCCCCCATCTATTTGCTTTCTTTGTTTCTCTTTCTCTTTCTTTCCACTTGTTCATTCTTTTCTTCTCTTTTCTCTCTCTCTCTTAGACAAATAAATATCATTAGCAGACAAATAAATATCGTTATCAATATCTCTTTTTACCCCTTTTGTTTTTATTTTGGCAGTCTCATTTATGTTAATAAAAGGCAAATTTGCATATTTTTCAATAAAAACTCGTGTGTAATATTTGTTCATGTCTTGTAGCTCTGAAACATCTGATGTTTATTCTATGTGGTTCTTATGTTAAGCAAGTTTGGCCACCCCGGTCCAAAGGGTATTCATCATGAAATAAGAACTAGTTCTCTGGTGGTCCAGGAGTGGGGCAGTTCTTCAGACTCCTTACTCCTGGAAATACCTCCTCCTCTCTGAAGGTAGGGCTGGCAGACTCTTTAGTCACGGAGAGGAGGGGCTTGACCCCTGGAACCCAGTCTCTCTGGCCCTGCCTTCTGAGCAGGACGTTGCAGATAGTGCTGCATTGGGGCACAGTAATTAGCAGAAGGAAGAAAGAAGAAACCAGAAGGAGAATAAACCAGAATAAAGCTTAATTATGCTTAAATCAAGTAATATTGTAATCCAGAAAAAAAACATGTTTATCTCTTGGGCTTCTTCCCTTTTGGAGTTTTGGGCACTGCTACTCCTTTCTCAGACTCTGACATTGAACTGCTGGAATCACTTGAAGAATTATCCGATTCTTCCTCACTGGGTTACTCTCCTTCTTCCAGATTAGGGTCCTCGTCTTTATCTATTCCCAATTGTTTTTTCAAAAAGTTTTTGGCTTTTTGGACAGAGTCATTTAACTTTCTTCTTGTTGTATTTGAACAGGATTCCTTCTGGGAAGCTCCATCTGTAGGTTATTGCTTTGTCTTGTAGGAAAAGAATTAAGTCTATACTGTCGTCTTTGTTTCTGGATCTCAAATGGAATGTATTTCAGAATTTTAATTTCTTCTTTGTTGATTTTGAGTGTTTTCCCCGCAGTAGCTTTTAAAACATTGTCTCTCATTGTTCTCTTTGGTAATTTAACATAAATTTTGCCAGCCAGTTTATTTTTTCTTATAAAATTAGGGTAAGTACGGTATGCCAAGTCCATGTCACTTTGTAGATCCTCCTGTTTAAGATCTGAAATTGAAGCTATCGCTCCACTTAACGTTGTTTTTATGTCTTCTCCCTTCTGTTCAGGAACTGTTCAGGAAGCGTAAAACATGCATAGATTTATCAAGCTGTAGATGAAGTAGTTCATTTTTATCCGTATTTCTTTCTTTTCTTTTAGTTGTTGCTTACTATCAGTAGTCCTTGTTTCGATGTTCTCGATCCTTTTATCTGTCTTATTGGTTTTTTTCCCCATTTGGGTAAGTTGCTTTTGGACGGAATCCAGCTTGGTATTAATTGTAGACATCTGGTCCAGCAGAGGGCGCAGTGCTGCGGCAAGCATATTGGGAAAGTCTGCGGCCGCTTTCTGTGGCTGACTGGAAGTTGTTGGTGTAGTACTTCCTGGTGGAAGTTTCTTTTTCGCCGCCATTCTCCTCGCCCTCCCAGCCATTTGTTTACAGTGAAGAAAAGTTTTAGTTTTAAATTAAAGTTTCTCTGAATTCCATGTTCTTGGGCTTAAAAGATAGTTTTTAAGCTGTCAAGTTCCTTAGCAGGGTCACACCACACACACAGCCAGGCTTCTTGAGAAGATAAGTCCATAACTAAAGAACGAGTATATAGTTTGTGTCAAGAATGGCCTGTAGTATATTGGCCTCTGACTTATAGTGATTTCGAACTACCCCCCCCAAGCAAAAGCCAATGGTTAATTTTCATGCGCGCAGCAAGCAAGTAGCAAAACAAGCGGCAAAGCTGGAAAGCAGTTAAGGTTCCCAGCCGTCTCATTACAGCTGGAGATGGCAAGGTCAAAGTCGCGATAGCAGTCAGTTGCTGGGCAGGGAAGCGCTGGGAAAGCGGAGGAGAGTATCACCCCCATATACTAATGCCTGTATCTTTGGGCTGTATCATTTGTTCTCACATGGATCAGCAGGAGCAGGTAGCGGTCAGAAGTTTTGACCAGTCTTGGAATTCTCTCAGTCACATCTTGGATACATGCTCCAGGAAGACAACAAACCTCTCGAGATTCCTTGTCTGATCTTGTCCAGTTTTGCAATTCTCAAAACTGTGAATTTGTATCTGCAGAGATACCATGCCTCTTCTTCACAGCAAGAATGTTATAAACGCACAGAGTTAAGAGACCTCAGTCCTATACACCTTGAAGAGCGTTATGCTTGAAAGATCAACACCTGGTGGTTCCTGGCCCGAAGGATCCCCGTCTTGCCTCAACTCTGTCCTGGCCCCAGCCTGGTGGAACATGCTCCCTATTGAGACCAGGGCCCTGCGGGAGCTTCTTCCATTCCACAGGACCTGCAAGATGGAGCTGTTATGCCAGGCCTTTGGTTGAGGCAATGGGCGCCCATATATGGCCTCCCTAAGGTTGCTGTCACCCGTCTATTTACTGGCCTTTAACTCACTGCGATCAATAACAATGACACATTTAATAAATTTTACATAGAAACAAAGTCCAACAATTCATTTACTCAATATTACAATAAAAACAGAGTCCAACTTATTCATGTTCTCAACAGAGTATAGCATTTCCCTCACATTACTCAATGAGTACACCAGTTTTTACACTCATTTCATTATCTTCCTCAAGAGTAATCTTATAGTTCTTATAGAGTTGGAAGGTGTTTTCTTCTATGAATTATCAGTTCCATTGCATTTCTTAAGTAGGAGCAGGCCAATAAATTGAATGTCTATTTGTAGCAAGCAGTCCATGATTTTATGTGGCAAAAGCCTACTTTAAAATTGGCTGACATATGCTCTCCATTTCACATTGTAGGCCAATAGCTCTCTATGAAGTGAATGCATTAGGAGTTGGAAGGTGTTTTCCTAAGCTTTCCTGTAAAAATTGATAACAATATTACTACACACAGCTTCATGTTTGTTTTACTCCTTTCTAATGTGTAGGGAGGAAGGG